TGAGATTTGTATGCATCATCAAAGATCTTCTTCATGGCCTTACACTTGGCTGTCTCAGAGAAGCCAATCATCTTATCAGGAGAGCAGATCTTGATGAAGGGGAAGTTGGACTCCTCTGCAATCTTTGCAGCTAATGCAGTCTTTCCACTGTGAGGAGGGCCTTCCAAAAGGACACTAACCAGCGGTGTATGATCGCTGTTCTTAGTCTGCTGGACCAAAAGCTCCCCATCATGCAGAACTTGAGTAACCGGGTCACCCCATTTGATGATTCCGTTCATAATGTAACTTGCATAATCCTCTTGGTTTGTGCCAAATGCTGGTTTGATGTTCTCCAGGGAAGCAAGGAAGTCCCCTCTTGTTACCTTCAGACTCTCTGCTTTCTCCATGTCCACTTCAACTTTAGTACTGGCCTTTATATGTCTGTTCATAGCAGTGGACTGTGCTGCTCGCACCAGACCCTCCAGCTCAGCACCACTGAAGTTCTTGGTCTCCACAGCCAGCTCTTTAATGTCCACATCAGTAGAGAGTAACTGATGGTCTCTCATCCTCGCTGTATGGATGTGAAGGATCTGTAGTCGACCTTTTTCATCTGGTAAGTCTATCTCCATTTTGACTTCCAGTCTTCCAGGTCGAAGGAGAGCTTCATCTATCAGATCTGATCTATTGGTCATTTCAGTGACTAGGATGTTGTTCAGCTGCTCTACCCCATTGATTTTGGACAACAGCTGATTGATGACAGTGTTGTGAACTCCAGTGCTGCCAGCCATGCTTCCTCTCTGCTTGAAGATGGCATCAATTTCATCAAAGATGATGATGTGCAAACCACTGTTCGCACCAAGCCTCCTTTGCTCCTCTTCAGCATCAGCAAAAAGCTTGCGAATGTTCGCCTCGGATTCACCCACATACTTGTTAAGGATTTCTGGTCCATTGACCACTTTGGGCTCTCTTGCATTCAACATCTTGCCAATCTGTCGAGCCAAGAGGGTCTTACCACAACCAGGGTGCCCATATAACAGGATGCCTTTCACATGTTTACATCCCATCTGCTCCACAATCTCTGGTGGAAATACTCTGGAAGCAAATGCTTGTTGGAAAATATCTGAAAATTCTCTGTCCAGCCCTCCTATTCCCATTTTTTCAAAGTTCTAATCAGGATTGACGATAGACTGGCGATTTTCCTTGGTTTTAGCTTTGCCAATAAGATTGAGTGACGAATTTTCTGCTTTTTCAAATGCAACTTGACTGTTTCCAACAACCAGTCCTACTTCAGTCTTCTGTCTTTTACCTGTCACAGCCTCTCCTTTCAGGATGCTGGGATCCATGGCATCAATATCCTTTACCAGTAGTCCAAAAAGCTTTTTGTTGAAGCTGAACACAAGCTGCTGTCCCACTGAGAAGGCCTGGTTGTTGAACTGCTGAATAAATTCTGCTGCCATCTTGTCAGTACCATAAGGATTGGAGTCAATACTTTTTTTTCTGAGGTAAGCTGAATGCAATGCTCCCTGGAACCACTGACGGATGCGTCTTCAGAGTAAACGTGTACCTGTGATTGAGTGAGGTCCTCACTACCACATGCTGGCTGGACTGAAAATCCTTTTCATTCACAACTGCATAGTTGGTTAAAGATAATTCATCTATAGGACATCTTGCAGCTTGCATACTCCGGCCCGCCATCTTCGCGGACACGTCCGGCT